TTCCCCAGTGTTTTCCACCAGTAGTTTTATAGTTTTCAGTCTTAAGTTTAGATCTTTGATCCACTTTGAGTTGATTTTTGTTAGTGGTAACAGATAGAGGTTCAGATTCATCTTTCTGCAGGTGGATACACAGTTTTTCCAGCACAATTTGCCAAAGAGGTTTTCCTTTTCCCACTGGATTGACTGATATCCTTTCTCAAAGATCAGTTGGCTGTATGTTTTAGGGTTTATTTCTGGGGTCTCTACTTTGTTCCATTGGTCCTCATGTCTGTTTTGGTGCCAATACCATGCTGTTTTGATTATAACAGGTTTGTAATATATTTTGGGGTCAGAAAGTGAAATGATTCCCACTCCACTCTTCTTGCATAGGATGGCTTTGGCAATATGGGGTCTTTTATGATTCCAGACAAATTCTATGATTGTCTTTTTTAGATCTGTGAAAAATGTCTCTTGTAATTTTATAGAGATTGTATTAAATATGTAGATTAATTTGGGTAGGATTGCTATTTTGATTTATTAATTGTGTACATGGAACATGGAAAATTCTTCCACTTTTTTGTGTCCTTTTCAATTTCCTTTTTAACATTTTCATAGTTTTCCTTATAGAGTTATTTGACTTCCTTGGTTAGTTTTATTCCTAGGAATCTTATACTTTTTGTGGCTATGGAAAATGGAATTACTTTCTTCAGTTCTCTCTCTGTTTGTTTATATTTGTTTATGCTATAGATTTTTAAGTTGATTTTGTATCCTGCCACTTTACTGTATGCATTTATTACTTTAAGAATTTGTTTTGCTTTCCTTCCTTTTTTATAAATTTATTTATTTATTTTTGTATATACATTCAATCATATTGTTTAGCTTACAATGCCTATTGGAATGCCTTTTATTTTCTTCTCTTATTGATCACATTGGCTAGGACTTCCAGCACTATATTGAATAGGAGTGGAGAAAGTGAGCAGCCTTGTCTTGTACCAGTTTTTAGTGGAAAAGCTTTCAGTTTTTTCCCCATTCAGTATAATGTTAGCTATAGGTTTTGCATAGATGGCTTTTATTATGCTGAGAAACAATCCTTCTATGCTAATTTTACTGAGAGTCTTAATCATAAAGGAACGTTGTATTTTGTCAGATGCTCCTTCCATATCAATTAAAATGATCATATGGTTTTTATCTTTCTTTTCTGTTAATATGGTGTATTACATTTATGGTTTTGTGTGTGTTGTGCCACCTTTGTTTTATCCCTGCAATAAAGCCTACCTGGTCGTGAAGAATGACATTTTGTGTATGCTGTTGGATACAGTTAGCAAGTATCTTGTTGAGAATTTTTGCATCTATATTCATCAGAGATAAAGGTCTATAGTTTTCCTTTTGTGTTGTATCCTTATTCATGTTGGGAATGAGGGTAATGGAAGCTTCATAGAATGAAGTTGGAAGTGTTCCTTCTTTTTGATCTCTAGAAACAGTGTGAGTAGAAAAGGGTTTCCTCTTCTTTAAAAGTTTTGTAAAATGCAACAGTGAAACCATGGGAACCTGGACTTTTCTTTGTAGGGATGTTATCTATTACTGATTCAATCTCATTGCTTGTTATAGGTCTATGCAGGCTTTCTATATCCTCCTGAGTCTATCTTGGTAGATTATATGTGTCCAGGAATTTGTGTATTTTATCCAAGTTTTCTTCTTTGTTGGCATATAGTTGCTCATAGTATCCTTTAATGATATTTTGTATTTCTACTATATCTGCTGTAATGTCTGATTCATTGCAAATTTGAAGTATCTGGATCTTTTCTCACTTCTTAATTAGTCTAGTTAATGGTGTTTTGATCTTGTTTATCTTTTCAAAGAACCAGCTTTTACTTTCATTTATTTTCTGTATAGTTCACTTATTTTCTATTTCATTTATTTATGCTTAAATCTTTATTATTTCTTTTGGTATTTTTTGGATTTTCTGTTGTTGTTTTTCCAATTCCCTGAGGCATGATGATAGGTTGTCCTTTTTCCACCTTTCCATCTTTTTCTTATGTGCACTAATTGCTATAAACTTCCCTCTTATGACTGTTCTTGTAGTGTCCCATAAATTATGGAAACTTGTGTACTCATTATCATTTATTTCCATGAATCTTTTCATTTCAGTCTTAATCTCTTCAGTTGTCTTGGAGTCATTCATAAATAGGTTATTTAGTTTCCATGTATTTATGTATTTTTGAGGTTTTTCTGGAAATTAATACCAAGTTTCATTCCATCATGGTCAGAGAAGATACTGGATATAGTTTCTATGTCTTTGAATATGTAAAGGCTGGTTTTGTGCCCTATAATGTGGTCAATATTTGAGAAAGTACCATGTGGGGCTGAGAAAAATATGTGTTTTTTGAGTGGAAAAATTTTGTGTTTTTTGAGTGGGAAGTTCTACAGATGTCTATCAAGTCCATCTGATTTATGGTATTATATAGGTCCAGAATCTCTTTGCTTATTTTTGTCTCATTAACTTGTCTAAAGGAGATAATGGGGTGTTGAGATCTCCAATAATTATTGTGTTATAGTCTATCTCTGCTTTTAGATCTAGCAGTCTTTTCTTTACGTATTTGGGTGCATATTTATAAGTATTATATCTTCATGGTGAATTAGCCCTTTTACTACTATGTAATGTCTTTTTTTTTTGAGAGATTTTCGCCATAGGGCACATGCGCTCTCCAGACAGAGAGAGACATAGAGACAGAAAGCGAGAAATCACCCCCCAGGGGGGATGGTCACGCCACAATCCCTTCTCCTCCATTCTCCTCTCGGGATCTTGGGCACGCATGCACACGCGCCCGGCGTGAGTTTTAAGCCACCGGGCCCGGGACGTGAACCGCGGTTGACTATGTGGGAGTCCAGTGACATAGCCATTACGCTAACTGCTGGTTCCCTGTAATGCCTTTTTATATCTCTTCTTATGATTTTTGTCTTAAAGTCTATTTTGTCCAAAATCAGTATAGCGTTTCCTGCTATTTTTTTGGTTTCCATTTACAAGAGATATCTTTTTCCAGATCCTCACTTTTATTCTATGTATGTCTTTAGCCATGAGAAGGGTTTCTTGTAGGCACCAGATGGAGGATGTCTGATTTTTAATCCATTCAGCCAGTCTGTGTCTCTTGATCGGAGAATTTAATCCATTGACATTCAACATCATCATCAATATTTCCAGACTCGTCCCTACCATTAAGTTGGCCATATGTTTGATTGTTTTTTGTTCTCTTATTGCTGTCTGTCTCTCTTTAGTTTTCTTATTATAGTACTCCTTTCATAATTTCTTGAAGAGCTGGTACGGAGTTGGTAAATTCTTTCAGGTTTTGTTTATCTGAGAACTTTTTCATTTTCTTTTCTTATGTGAAGGATAATCTTTCCAGGTATAGTATTCTTGGTTGAAATTGTTTTTCATTTAACACTTTGAATATATTTCTCTATTCTTTCCTTGCTTGCATTGTATCTGATGAGAGGTCCAGTGTTAGACTGGTGGGATAGCCTTTGTAAATAATTTGATGTTTCTCTCTTGCCAATCTTAGTATCTTGTCTGTGTCTGTGGTTTTGGCCCACCTGGTTATGATGTGCTATGGAGATTATCTTCTTGGATTTATTCTACTTGGGTTCTTTGTATTTCTTGGGTCTGGATATTTGAGTGTCTCTCTAGACTTGGAAAGTTTTCTTCCAGAATTTCGTGGAATAGATTATCTATGCCCTTATTAGTTTCTTTACCTTTTGGAATACCAATTATTCAGATGTTTGGGCATTTCATGGTATCTAGTATTTCTCGTATATTATCCTCAGTTTTCTTGATAAATATGGAGCACTTCATGAATTTGCATGTCATCCTTGTGCAAGGGTGATGCTAATCTTCTCTGTATCATTCCAATTTTAGTATATATACTGCTGAAGTGAGCATCCTGCATGAGTTTTAAGCCACCAGATCCAGTACTCAAACCACAGTCAACTACATGTTAGACTAGCAACATGACCATTACACAATCTGCTGGTTCTTATTTTTCTTGTTTATATATTAATCCACCTGGATTTTTTTACCATATTACCATATTACCCCCACTATGAGGTGGGGATCTAATGGCATATATATGCATTTATATGTGATGTGTGTATATATGTTTATGTATGATAAACGAAGAGCGATATGTTTTTCTATACTTCACAATTTAGCTATATGTAACACCTCCTCTGTTGTGTACCTCATATGTGACCTATGACAATTTCTTATATATGTGTCTCTATCTGCCTTTTTTCTATGTCACGACCTACAGTTGATTCCTTTTTCAAAATGATATTCTCAGTTCTATAGTAAGTTTTTGTCCTTTGTAAGATATGTTCTATTTTTGTTGTTTGGCATTTTTAAAAATTGCTTAAGCCTTCCATATAAATTTTGGAACCATTCTTCAAGTTCTATAAAAGTATCTTGTTGATTTATAGATATTATTGGCACTGAATTTATAGATGAACTATAACCAAAAGGTCATCTTTATGAGTTTTATTCTCCTTATCAAATTATAAATATTCTTAGTCCAAAATAATGCTGTGAAATATTCTAAATTAAGATTTTATTCAACTTGAATTATATTTATTCTTAGGTACCCTCAAAAATGTTTACCAGACATCACCCTTTATATTGAAATTAATGAGGAGCTTGATTAACATCAGCGAGAATAAGGTATTTGCGTTACTTATCATATTATTCAATATTGTGTTGGATGTACAAGGCACTGAAATAAATTTTAAAAAAAACTTTAAGTGTCATACAAAATTGAATGGAGACTCAATATTGTGTTTGCTTCTAAGTCATATAATTATCTGTATGAAAATGTCAACATAAGCCGTAAACTTTCAGAAATAATAAACACTAGAAAGACTACTGAAAAAAAATTTGTAGACAAAATTAATGGTGTCCATATAAAACAGTTACAACCAAATAAGGATAGGATATGGCAAGCAATTCACAATAATATTTTCTATTTCAAAATTTGATTTAATTTATTTAAGGGTCTATGTACTTTTATCATTTTTTTTCTCCTATGTTGAGACAGTTTTGTCTATAGATTTAGGGCTTATTTATTTTTTTTTTTGAGAGGTTTTTGCTATAGGATGCATGTGCTCGCCAGACAGATGGAGAGAGACAGAGAGACAGAAAGCGAGAAATCACCCCACAGGGGTATGGCCATGCCGCAATCCCTTCTCCTCCATTCTCCTCTTGGGATCTTGGGCACACATGCACACATGAGTTTTAAGCCCCCGGGTCCGGGACTCAAACCACAGTCGACTATATGGGAGTCCCATGACATAGACATTATGCTAACTGCTGGCCCCAAATTTAGGTTTTTTTAAGCTCTGAAAATATCTGATAATTGTATTTCAGTATGTTCTGTTCTTCCTCATTCATCCTTTTTTGTAACGTTAAATCATCAGTTCCCATCCTCATATCTGTAATATTTTCCTTTATTTTTGTAGTTGTCCTTTCCACCTTTATTCTTGGAAATAGTTTTCAGTTTTCTACCTTTATAATAACTGTACTTTCTATTGTTAAAATTATGGTTTTTGTCACCCTTCATGTTACTTTCTACTATTAAAATTATGTTCTTCTACCCTTTAATGTGACTTTTAATTTGGGGATGATTTTTTTTCAGGGGTTGTATTTGAAATTATTTTTATCCAATCTTTGTTCCATTGCATAAATATTCTTTGATCACTTTGAATGTGTCAAATAGCATGGTAGACCTAGCTTTCCTATATACTATTTTCTTGTTGGTTTTAAATGTGTGCTTTTAATTTTAATTTTCTTATCTGTACCTGCTCCTATTTTTCTTCACAGAATAATGTCATAAAACTATAAAATATACTAACGTTTTGATAGTACATGAACCTGTTTTCCTTCCAACACTTCAAGGAAAACTCTTCAATCCTTTATTCAATCACTTTACTAATATTATTTATAAATGGTTTGTTTTCATTTTTAATTATATTAGAATAAGATTTCAATTTGAGAGGTTGCTTATCATTATAAAGGATGTCTATCTTGCCACAGACCCAACTCATATCCATGTCTGTACTCTGCCTATCTCAAAAAAAAAAAGATATATAATACATGAGAAGTATGACAACCTTAAATCATTCTGGTTTGCTTAAAAACTTAATTTTTGAATACTGTACCTTCTAATATAACCACTGACTTATCCTTATCTGATCCAATTGTTGTAGCCTAGGAATTCATTTATTAAAAGTTCTTTAGATGGGACCAGCAGATGGCATAACAGTTACATTGCTGGACTCCCACATGGCTGAGTGCAGTTTGAGTCCTGGACCTGGTGGCTTCAAAATCACACTGGGAGTGTGTGCATTCATACCCCGTGCCCAAGATCTTAGAAGGAGAATGGAGAAGGGACTGTGGTAGTGCCATCCTCCCTGGTGGATGATTTCTATTTGTCTTTCATTGTCTCTCTCTCTAGTGGCCTAAAGCAAAAGCCTCTAAAAAACAACAACAACAACAACAACAACAAAGTCTGGGGACAAAGTACTTTCAGAGTTTATAGTTAAGAGTTTATAGTCTTTTGGGACCAGCATATTGTGTAATGGCTTTGTTGCTGGACTCCCACATAGCCGACCATGGTTGGAGTCCCAGAACTGGGAGCTTGAAACTCACTCAAGACATGTGTGAATGTATGCCCAAAATCCTGAGAAGAAAGTAGAGGAGGAGGGATTGTAGCATGGCCTAATCCCCTTGTGATGGTGGTGGGGGGAGATTTCTCACTTTCTGTCTCTTTGTCTCTCTAGCAAGTGCACATGTCCTATATCAAAAATCTCTCTTAAAATATAGTTTATAGTTTTTCTAGATCAGAAATTGGAGCCAAGGGCTGCAATTTAAGGTAATAAAACAGACCACTGTTTTACCTCATTCCTACTGGGCAGTGTTATGGACAAAGTGTTTGCTCCCAGAAAGTGGAAATTAAATATTATTCTTTTCTTTGAGTTATATTTTCTTTATTGAGATTCAAGAAAAGTTATACAAGGATGGCTAGTTATGTGTCATGCTAAATTTACAACCCTGCAGATTGATTTAATATTTAAATGCTCAATACTAGTTAGAGCAAAGTCTGAAGTACAGGAGAGAGTCTCTGAAAGTATATTTGAATTCTTTCTGTTATATTTGATTTTCAGATCAGGCACTAGTGATCAACAGTTGTAGTGAATACTCAATCTAAGCCTCGCATGGCATAGAGAGTGATAGAAATAGATAAAGACTGACAGAAAGAGAAGGGGCAAGTGACAGAGATGAATACTAAGAGTAATTTACTTGGATATAAACTGTTCATTCCAAAATAATAAGAGTAGATAGAGGGAATAAAGCTATCTCATTCTACCTAGATTCATGTATTTAATCATTCTCATCACATTTCAGTCTAAGACTCTCTAACAGGCAGTCAAAATGGTTAAAGGCTATATTTAAGAAACATAAGGAACAAAGCTTTCTCATTAATACATTGTTCCCTTGCAAGTGTGCATGAATTATTCTCTTGTTTAAGAAAATCTTAAAACATATTTATGATTTACAAATGAATCTATAGGTTGTTCTGGCCAGCAATAATGTAGGTTTTTGTTTTCTATTTTCAAATTATGAAGAGAAACTGCTCACTAGAGAAAAAAAAAAGAATGTAATCTTTTCTGTTCATTCTTAAAAAATATGCAGATATCATACTAAATGAATTTTCCTCTTCATTTTTTTAATTGCCAGAGGGCAAATATAGTCACCCATGAGAGACAGAGGGAAGAGGGGAGAAAGCACCTCCCACCTCCCAGTAAGTCATGATCATGGCATAATCCCTTCTCCTTTTTCCCCATCCTGTGGGGATTTAGGGCACACACACATGCCCTACATGCGTTTCAAGTCTCCAGGGCTGGAATTTAAACCATAATCGACCATCTGGGTTTCAGTTCCTTTAATCACTGGGCTTTGAAAAAGCCCTATATGAGTCTTCCAAATATAAGATATACATGAATGAAAAATAAATGCACTAAATTTTATTTTTAGAGTAAAATATTTTGTTGTAATTATCAATGGTATATTACAGAAAGAATATAAGCTTATATAAATACTGTTTTTTCTTTGGGTCTATTAGGTACCATTAGAAGGATGGATAGGATGTTATTTAGGGTCAGCTCCAAATAGATAAGAAGAACTTACACTTTATAGTTTTTATTTTTCAGTTAACTTTTAGAAAATGAAATACTATGTTAGATTATTTTTCTGTCACTTGTTTATTTGTTTTTATAAACTCACTTTTGAAAACACAGTTCTTCATTATGGAAGTGTTTAGTGTGTGGTACCTAATAGTTTAATGATTATTGTTTTCCCTATGAAATTACTTGTAGCTTTATCAGTAGCACTGTTGGCTCAACCTCAGTTTGGACTTGTGTGAGCCCTAAGGTCTTCCTCAAATCCATCTAGGTACTTATAAAACAAGGGTTACCTCTCCCCTTCACCCCATGGTACCATCCTGTTAACTGAGCTGCACAGTAGGAGGTGAGTGGGGGGTGAGTGAAGCGTCTTCTGTATTTATAGCCGCTCCCCATCACTTGCATTAATGCCTGATCTGTGCCTACTGTCAGATCAGTGATGGCATTAGAGTCTCACAGGAGCAAGAACCCTATTGTGAATTGCACATGTGAGGGATCCAAGTTGTGGGCTCCTTATGAGAATCTAATGCCTTATGATCTGAGATAGAGCAGAAGTGGTGATAATAGCACTGGGGAACAGCTGCAAATACTGCTTTATGGTGAGTTGTATGCTTATTTTATTATATATAACAATAAAATGATAATATAAATAAAGTGCCAATATATATAATGAACTTGAATCATCCTAAAACCACCCCTATTCCTTTTCCC